TAACTTTTTTTCTCTTAATGTCAGTTCATATAGATATTGCCTCATTCTTTTTAATTGCTACATGGTATTTTATAAAATATGAATGGTAAGACTGTACCATAATTTATTCTGCCATTTCCTTTATGGGGAACATTGAAGAAGCTTTCAAATTTTCAGTATTTTGAACAATGCTGCAGCAAAATCCTTGTATATATTTGGAGCACATAAGCTTGTGCTTTTCTTGATAAATATCTACTAAAATAAAATTACTGGGGCAAAAGTTATGTGCATCTTTAATCTTGATAAATGCAGCCTTAAAAGGTTGTGACAGTTTACAGTCCTATCAACGGTGAATGGGAGTGTGGATTCCCCTATGGTGCCTCATGGTTTTATTAATCATCTACTAATGTCTTTCTAATCTTGTGGGAGATAAATGATAATCCATTGTTGCTTGAACTTGCATTACCCTGATTAGGTGAAGCCATGCTCATCTTTTCACATGTTTATTGGCCATTTGGATAACTTTTCTGTGAATAGCTCAGGTAAATTACTTGACCATTTTTTCTACCAGACTATTTCCCTTTTTAAAACAATCATTTATTTATAATTACATTTATATATTCTGGATATTATTTCTTTCCTTTTTAAACAGCATTTTCTTCAGTTCTGTCTTCTGTATTTTACCTTGGTTTTGGTGCTTTTGTCGTACAAAAGTTTTTAGCTTTAATATAATCAACTTCATCCTTTGTTTTTCCTTTACAGCTTCAGTTTTGTATCTGGCTTAGAAAGCTCTTCCCAAGCTTAGAATTATAAAAATATCCTCCTTTATTTTCTTTTAGTGCCTTTATCATTTTATAGTCTATGATTTGCTCTCTAATCCATTTGAAACACTGTTATTTATGGTGTGAGACGTGAATGTAACTTAATTTTATTCCAAACAGGTAATTTATGGTCATCAATCTACTTAACTCCACTTATGGACCAGACCAACCTTTCCTCATTTAGAATGCTCCCTTTGTCATAAACTCTACCACTAATATGTACATGGGTCTAATTGTGTACTCCTTATTCTAGTGTTTTTCAGTATTCAGTTATTTGAATACCATCTTTACCATTTCCATTATATTCATTTTCCATTTGTTTACTTAATATTTTATCATAATACATTTGAAAATTAAATACCTGCTTTAGCCTTATCCTAAGGCTATAAAATTATAGGTTTAAATTTTTTTCTAGTAAATACTAAAATAAGCACATAACTTTTGAAATGACAAATGTGTACTTATGTACCATTTTTAATCATCTTACAAACCACAAGTGGAATGCAGAGGCACTTTGGGGAAACACTATTATATTCTTTCCACTAATGGATTTGTCAATTTCTGTGACAAAACATCATGGCATTTTTTTTTTTAAAGCTTCACTATAATAATCTCAGCTTTTTTTTTTTTTGCTGAGGAAGATTCGCCCTGAGCTAACATCTGCTGCCAATCTTCCTCTTTTTGTATGTGAGCCACCACCACAGGATGACCATTGACAGAGGAGTGGTGTAGGTCCGGGAACCGAACCCCAGCCACTGAAGCAGAGCACCCCGAACTTAGCCACTAGGCCACTGGGGCTGGCCCATGACGTGTTTTGTTGTTTTTTGTTGGCGTCATATTTTGAAATAATTATAGACTCACGAGAAGTTGTAAAAATGGTACAGAGAGGTCCCGCGTATCCATCACCTTGCTTCTCACAGTGGTAACATCTTACATATCTACACTACGTTATCAAAATCAGGGAATTAGCATTGCACAGTATAATTAACTAGACTACAGACCTTCCTCAGATTTCACCCATTTTTGCATGCTTTTTTTTTGTCTCTGTATATAGTTCTATGACATTTTATCACACTTATAGATCCATATAACCACCACCACAATCAAGATACAGAACTGTCACCACCAAGAAACTTCCTCGTGCCACCCTTTACAGTCACACCCTCCCTTACGTAACCCCTGGCAACCATGGATCTGTTCTCCACCTCGATAACTTTGTCATTTTGATAATGTTATATAAATGGAATCATACAGTACGTAGCCTTGGGGACTGGCTTCATTTTTTTCACTCAGTATAGTCCCCTGGAGATTTATCCAAATTGTGTCTATCAATAGTCATTCCTTTTTATTGCCAAGTAGTATTCCATGGTGTAACAGTTGGTTTAACCAGTCAGCTATTGAAAGACATCTGGGTTGTCTCCTTTTGGGGGCTATTACTAACCAAGCTTCTATGGACATCTGTGTGGAAGTGTTGATGAGAAGACAAGATTTCGTTTCTCTACGATGAATGCCCTAGTGGGAGGTCACTGGGTTCTATGGTAAATATATGTTGAACTCTTTAAGAAACTGCCAAGCCAGTTTCCGGAGTGGCTGCACCATTTTACATTCCCACCAGCAATGTATGAGAGATCTAGTTTCTCCACATCCTCGCCAGCCTTCGGCTCTCTCAGTATTTTTATGTTAGCTGTTCTAGTAGGTGTTTCTCGTGGTTTTCACTTGCCTTTCCCTAATGATGTTGGCTAGTGATGTTGGACATCTTTTCATATGCTGACGTGTACGGCACGTTTTGATATCCGGCTGGCAAGTCTGAGGTTGCCTTTCTTATGTGGTTCCTGCCTCCCCTGACCCTGAGGGAGAGAACTAACCTGAGCTGCTCCCTGAAGCAGGAATACTCCTCTTAGCTCTTTTATGAGGAGGAAAGTTGGGGGGGGTGCATGTATGGTTTGACTTCAGTGGTCGGGAGCACAGGCTGAGAGCTTCTGGTGGATGGCAGGAGGCTTACAGGGGAGAGGATGGGAAGCTTCCGACACCACATGTGGCACCCACCACCCCTCCTCCAGTCCACACCCCCCAAGACACTTTTAATAAAATCGGTGCCTTTGGAAATGGAATCACTTGGGTGTTGTGAGGAAGTTCTGAGACTGCTCTCGCATCTGGAAACCAGGGACCCAGTCACAATGGGGTCACAAATATTACCCCACCTTTTTGGAATGTAGAAAGAATTGGGGGGAAGCCTGAGTTGTCCCAATAAGACTGTGGTTCCCACCAACACTCCAAGAGATGGGCCCACATCTGTTTGATGCCCTCTCCCCAGCGCCCTCACACGACCCACCCAGTGTGGGGAGAGGGCCACCTCTGAGCAGTGACTGGGTCCCCCCACCCTGACTCACCTTCTCCCTGAGGGTTGACTGAACACAAAGATGCTTGAGAACCTCTGAGGTCAGGGGAAGGGCCTGCGAGCCAGGAGCCCATGTGGAACCAGAGCTCACCCAGGAGGAGTGAATGTTAACTGGCCCTGGCGGGACCCAGGAAGAAGCAGTTTCATAAATCATATGGGGGGTGGATTTAAGGGGGAGGTCTTAGGTTCACGTTCTAGAGCAAGGATTCTAAAAGTAGCTCACAAGGAGCCTTCTGGCAGACAGCACCTCACAAATGCAGGTCCTTTCCTACATCTTCCAGGGCAATGATGAACTCGTCCAGAAGATTCCATTTTTTACCCATAACCAAGTCTTCTTCATTATAACCTATCAACTGAATCATTAAGGATTAATAAAAGAGGGTATTCATAAAGAAAAATGAGAGTGTTTCTAGAGCTTATTGAACACAGTCTGTGTGACTTTGGGTAAGTTACTTAAAATTTGTTCCTCCATTTTCCCATCTGTAGAATGGGGATAATAATAGTTCCAATTTCATTGAGACACTGGGAGGGTGGAAGTGCTGAAAACAGTACCTGGTCCAGAGCAAGCATGGCAGAGGTGTCAGCTATTATTATCACTAAAACATGGGCAGCCCCAGCTCCTAACACTTCTGGCCACATTGCACACTCCAACTGTGCACACTTCCTGGAGAGGGTTGGAATTATTGCGCCTGTGGAGGGAGTCTTGATCAGGCTGCCTTGAGTTGGTAAGTTTTCCACTGGCACCACTCTTCCTATGGCATGGTAAATCACTGTTAGTTTAGCTTTGGTATTATCAACATCGTGTGCTGGGAGTGGTTTGCTAAATCCTACACAATACAATGCTGCAGATTTCCACGCTCTAATTTTTGACATAAAATTTTCTAACTAGATTTCAAGCCATCAGTGTGTGTGGTTCAAACATGGATCATCTTTGCCCCTATTGTTAAAGCTGATGTATATCTATAACACCCCCACACACAAAGTATTTTACTTTTGCCGAATGCTTTGTGGCTGTTACTGAGTTCTTTAAGTGGAAATATCAGGTGGACATGGGCTGCAATGTTTTCAACCTCTCTTAAGTGGGCTCCAAAATATTGGAGGCCCCGTGCATGGAGGCCATGGGTCCAGGGCCCAGGAGGATGGCCCTGCTGTCCAGGACTAGGTACATGGGGATGGCAGAAGTGTCCCCTCTGGAAGGCACCCCAGCAGCTTGATGTAGTGGCAATGGTCCTTGGGCTCCTCCTGGGGACATCAGTTCCCCAATTCGTCCTCTACCCTACACCAGCTAGCTTCTTCTTGGACCCCAGGAGGGTCTGTGGACAGAGTGCTCACCCATGCATGCACACACACACACACACACACACACGCACACTCAGGGCTTAGGACCTGGCTTGGGATATCTCCTCCAGTAAGCCTTACCTGATTGATCATACCCAGTTCTAACCCATCTTTTCCTCTGCACTTGAGGACTCAGTATATCCCTTTCCATTTGTTCCTGATTCTGCTGAGGGAACAGAATCCTACCTGAGTCAGAGCGAGTCCTTTCTGCCCAGGCCATGGTGGTAGACCTGACATTTTTGCTGAGGCCCATTCACATACATATACCCATTAGATACAATATAGTGCATTGGGTGATTAAGGAAGCTAGGCCTAGAGAGGGTAAGCAACTTGTCAGAGGTCACACAGCCAGCCCAGGCCCGAGGAGCTCCCTGTTAGACCACACTGCGTCTCACTAAGATGCTTGTTGGCAGCCTAACTCCTTAACTAGAGCACTAACCTACCTCCTTTCATGGCCCCTGCAGATGCCAAAGGGACCATCCGGGAAATTGTCCTGCCCAAGGGCCTGGACCTGGACCGGCCCAAGCGGACCCGCACATCCTTCACAGCCGAGCAGCTCTACCGCCTGGAGATGGAGTTCCAGCGCTGCCAGTACATGGTGGGCCGTGAGCGCACTGAGCTGGCCCGCCAGCTGAACCTCTCCGAGACCCAGGTGAGAGGGCAGGGCCAGGCTACTCTGCACCTGCCCTGGCAGCCTGGGAACTCCTTGGGGTGTGAGGCCCGTGGGCTGCTACAGGGAAAAGTTCAGGCATGTGTTAGGGAAAGGCTTAAAGCTATAGGTAAAGCAGAGCAAATAAACGTAGTGCACCAGAAGAGTGGGTAACTGTCAACGGGGGCCTTCGGATGCATGAGGCTTTTTGAGTGGGATATGGGAAAACGCCAGAGAAACAAGCAGGGAGGGACACTCAGGCTGCAGGGAGTGGCTTAGAGGGTTGTTGGCCTGTGAGAGGAGCCTGCAGGAAGGTATGATGAGCAGGTGGGTTGGGGGAGAGATGAGATATTACAAAATTGGGTTGGGGATCTCTCATTTCCCCATTCTGGGCTTTTTCTACCCGCCATCCCCTCCCCATCCCAGTGTGCCTCAAAACCTCTTGTCGAGAGAAGGGCTTAGCATTTTAACAATATTATGCTTAACCCAAAGGGAAAATTTTTGTACACTGAGCACCTACTCTGTGTAATGGAGGCATTTCCAGCTGGAAATAGAGCTACATAGTGATGAGAATACTTACTTACTTAGTGCTCCTTGCACCAAGGCACTATTCTAAGTGCTTTGCACATGTTAATTCACTAATCCCTCCCAACCATCCTATGATGTAGCTACCAGCATCATCCCATTTTACAGATGATGAGAGGTGATGCCCAAGGTCATACAACCAATAAGTTCCAGGGCTAGGATTTGGACAGGCAGTCCGGCATCTTGATGCTGCCTGTAAACTGGGCAACCATCCTTGGGCTCATCAAAGAGTGACTCAGAGACCCTTCATTTAGCTACAGCTCTGGTAGTTTAATCTCATATATGAGGGAGATCAGTCAATAGCTGTATCTCAAACTGTGGCCAAAATGGGACTTATAAAGGGAAGAGGAGAGGAAGGAGAGGAGGAAGGAAGCGGACAACCTGGAAGGAGGAAATGTGAGGCCCCTCCGTGTCCCGCCTGCCGCTGTACCTCCCTTGGCACCCCCGCTGCAGCTAAGTCGGGATCTGGGCCTGCTGGGGAGCAGCTGCTGTCCCGCAGGCACGGGCCCTCTCCGCCTGGACCTGTTTTCCTCCAGCTGCCTTGTAGAGCCCCAAACAACCCAGCAGATGGCCCAGGGCAGCTGGGCGCTTCCTCCAGTGGGGCTCAGCTGCGGGCTGGAAAGCCAGGCTGCGCTGAGAGAGGGAGCTGCAGTAGCTGGGCCGAGCCAGAGCTCCTGGAGGAAGTCAAGGAGGCACCCTCAAACCCTGAGGCCTAGGCATAGTCACCCCTCAATACCTGCCCCTCCTCTTTCTCCTAACTACCCTCTGCCCCTAAACTCTTCTCTGAAACTTTGCTCTTCAGGGGCACCTCAGATGCCCAGGCCAGCAGCTCCCTCTCAGTCCTCATTCTTCCCCTGCCCTGTCTCCCATACATCCTACATTGACCTGCCCTGAAGGTCAAGGCCAAGCCCCTCCTCTTCCAGGAAGCCTTCCCTAAGGCTTCTTGACTTTGCCCCAGGAGAACTTTTCCACATGGCTTGACGTGTGTGTGTGTGTGTGTGTGTGTGTGTGTGTGTGTGTTTGTGTGGTGGGCACCAATCAGTATGCACCTCCCAAGGACAAGAATGTGTTTGAAGGCCAGGTCTTCTTTTCAGGCCTCCTTGGGGACCCCAGCACACAGTGAGCCCTCAACGAATCCTAGCTCACTGACTATTGCTCACCGCTTCCTTTCTCTTTCCCCAGTTCTGGGGTTTTGCAGATAATAGAAGGTAGAGCTAACATTTATGGAGGGCTTCATGGCTCCAGGCACTGCTCTAAGTGCTGGGCGTGTTCTAACACGCTTAGTCTTCACCACAACCTGGTGTGGCTTAGTCTTCACCACAACCTGGTGGGATCCGTGTGAGGTTTTTCTTCTGACACCAGATGTGTGGTGTTTTCCACACCAACAGCAACCAATTCTCCAACACCAACTGGGTGTCCAACAGTTCGATTCAGTTCAAGTCTGATGCTAACTCCGAGAGGCTGCACAGACCCTACAGGTTAAGTCCCACAGGACAGTTTCACATCAGATGCCAGTTACAAGACCCAGGGACCACCCATACTTCTGACTGACCAGCTGTAAATTTGGGGGTTCCCACATCCCCCTCCTCAAGTTTGATAATTCACTAGAAATGAATCACAGATCTCAGGAAAATACTTTACTTACATTTACATGTTTATTATAAAGGGCACAACCCAGAAATAGCCAGATGGAAGAGATGCATAGAGCCAGCTATGAGAGGACAGCTTCCACACGTCTCTGGGTGCACCCTCCTCCAAGCACTTCCATGCATTCACCAATTCAGAATCTCTCCGAGTCTCATGAGTTGTTCAAGACTTTTTATAACCCAATCTCCAGCCTCCTTCCCCTCCATGGAGGTTGGGGATGGGGCTGAACCTTCCAACCCTCTAATAACACATCTTATCTTTCCCAAGTCCAGCCCCATCCTGAGGCTGTTTAGGGGCCCACCCTGAGACACCTCACTAGCATAAACTCAAGTGTGCTCAAGGGGCTCCTTAGGAATAACAAAAGACACTCCTATCACTCAGGAAATTCCAGGGGTGTTAGGAGCTCTGTGCCTAGAACCAGGGACAAGGACTAAATATATCCTTTTATTATACCAGAATGGGTCTTTATTATCTCTACTTTAAAGAGAAGGAGGGCCGGCCCCGTGGCTTGGCGGTTGGGTGCGCGCGCTCCGCTGCTGGCGGCCTGGGTTCGGATCCCGGGCGAGCACCCACGCACCGCTTCTCCGGCCATGCTGGGGCCGCGTCCCACATGCAGCAACTGGAATGGATGTGCAGCTACGACATACAACTATCTACTGGGGCTTTGGGGGAACAATAAATAAATAAAATCTTTAAAGAGAAGGAAACTGTGGCACAAAGAAATTAAATAACATGCTCAAAATGTAAAGCAGGCTCATTCATTAGCTCATCTCATCTTTATAAAAAGACGGCTTCATGCGTAATATCCTCCCCATTTCAGAAATCTGAGCCTCAGCAAGGTTAATTAACTTGCCCAAGGTTATATAGCTAGAATTCTGTGGAATTCTCAGTATATTCACCCATACTTTTGTTCAAAGCTATCACTGAATGCCCACTATGTACCCAGTACTGTTCTGGGCACTGGGGATCCAGCAGAGAACAAAACAGACCAGGCACCTGCCCTTGGGCAGCTGACATTCTGCCTGAGAAAGACACACAGCATTGATGAGAGTGCTGAGCGCTGTGAGGGAGATGAGACGGCGACCTGACAGAGACCAGGAGGAAATCCTTTATTGGAGTGCTCAGAGTGGTCTCCTCTTTGAGGAGATGACATTGAGTTGAAGAAACAAGAAAAAGATGTGACTGTGGAATGAGGGAAGGTGAGAGGCTAGTTCCAGGGTCCCCCTCTCTCCACTGGCCTGGGGGACTTTTTCAGGGCCAGGGACCAGGCACCAGGCCAAGGACAAACTGCCAAGTCCCAATACTGAAAAGATCACCGCTTAGCTTGGCAAGAGCAGCTCCGCCCTTCAGCAATTGTCCTCAGCCCCATGCCCATTGCCTCTGCCCCAGATGGCTTCTTCCAGAACAGTGGAATAGGTGACACCTTCCTGGTCCAGGTTACAAAACCCAGGGCCATCCCAGATAAACAGGTACCATTCATCTCAGATTAAATGTGTGCCCACGGTCACAGGAAGCAGTCTCTTAAAGGTTAATGTCATTTCCACATCAACAGTGAGTCTTGGAATTTAACACTGGCCATGAGCCCGAAGAAGGTGATGGATGATCTCCCAAAAAACACCTCCCCAGTCCTGGCAGCTAAGTGGAAACCACACCCCTCCCCTGGTGTGCAGCCATGGGTCACGGTATGGTCCGGCAGGGATCAGAGGTGAAGCCACCAAGCATTCACCTAGTTCCAGAGGAACCAAGAGAGAGAGGAGGCAAGATGGCAGCCCACAGGGAGACCACGGTAGGGCACTGAGAAGACAAGGGGAGGGTGACGCCCCAGGCAGTGCTCTGCACTGCAGGATAGGACTTGTGCCCCCTGGGAGAGTGCAACTGAATGAGCCTGAAAGGACCAGTAAGTTTGGACTTAACCCTGAGAAGAGGCTGACCCTGAGATGGAACTGAAGTCTTCCTGGAGGAGGAGGCCTAGTTCAGAGGCACTGAGCCTGTCTCTCACTCAGTTTGCCCCTTGTTTGCTGAGCCTTAGGAATCTACCCCTTAGAGACGGTGGGATTGGTGGTGGGAAGTGGACGGGCACATCTCCTCACTCCCACCTTTGCAGCTCCAGCATCCACGTCCACAGTCTGCGACATTAGAATCACCCACGGAGCTTTTTAAAAAATGCCAGTGCCTGGGCCCCACCCCCTAGAGATTCTGATTTCATGGATTGGGTTGGGGTATGGGCATCAGGATTTAGCAAAAAGATCCCAGGTAATTCCAAAGTGGGGCCAGGCTTGAGAGTCCCCAACCTAGCCCATAAGAGCCCAACAAAGGGGCATGCTCGCCTGCCTTCTGCCTTCTCCTCTCTTCCCCTTCCAGGCCCACCTTCCCAGGAGACTCCACCCTGCACCAGCCGGTGCCCCCCATCCCTGCTACACCCCGAGCTGCAGAAGCAGATGTGTGGGAGCACACACCTTCCTCATCAGACACCCTTGTTACTGCCACTCCCTTTGTACCTAATTGCCCTGCTTTTGCTGGGAGTGGGAGCTCTCCCACTAGCCCCTCAGCTCCCCAGGGGCAGAAACTACAACTTCTGGGCATGTCCTCTCCTCCTCCCTCAGAGCTAGGAGCAGAGAAAGGGAGCAATGAACAATAGCTCACATTTCTAGTGGGCCAGTCCCCACGCTAAGCCCTCTACATGGATTTCCTTATTTAACCCCTGCAACAGCCAGGTATTTCTGTCCCCATTTTACGGATGAGAAACTGAGTCTCAGGGTTCTTGGAGGTGGTGCCTGGCCCGAGGTCCTAAGAGGGTAGTGGGCAGCGAAGCCAGGAGGCTTCCCAGCTAGGGAAAGGAATGTAGCAATATGCAGATCTATGGTCTCCAAGGATCTGGTGGGACCACTTCCTGGAACAATCGAGTTCTGAGAGTGACAAACATAGAAGGGTTTTCTTCTTCCAGTCGCTTCCTTCAGCCCAATTTGGTCGACTCCCTTGGCCATTCCTTCCTGACATCTTTTTCAAATATCACCTCTTCAGAGCAGCTGTATTTGTACCCCATGGTCACCTCCCCACCCCTCCCCTTATCCTGCTGTCTTTCTCTAAAGCAGTGTCCCCCAAAAGTGGTCCTCAGGCTGGCACCAGCCCACAAACTGTTATCTGTCCATGACAAGTTTAGAAATGGAGAGTAAGTGTTTAGAAATGTATATGGCAATTTCTCTAGTAATTCATTTTAATCGTGCTTTACAAAAGTATTGGTCCACAACTGATTGGAAACTTTAAAAAGTGGTCCCTCACCACAAACAATTTGAGAGGCACGGCTTGAAGCCCCTGACCGCCCTGCCTCTTTGTCCACATTTGTTCTTTGTCATCCGTCTCCCGCTCCACGTTGTCTACTCCACACGGCAAGGGTTTGCTCTGCTTTGTTCACTGTGGATTCCTGAGCCTAGAACAGCGCCCAGCACGTAGTAGGCACTCAGTACATATCTGTTGAATGAATGAATGAGAGGATGAATGAAGCAATCAATCTCAAGTGGATCCCATAACTCCCTAGTCACTTTTGGTTATTGAAACTCAATCCAATCACATTTAAAACATCAGACTCGCATCTAATTTCACATCTGCTCTTCTCCCCCCTTCCCCACTCAGAACAGGCCTGACTCACTGCTGGGGGTGCCTGCCGTCCTTAACACCTCCCCCTTTAGCCTCTGGAGGGAGTGTGACCTGTCTGAGCCACCTGCTCCCTCTCCCCCCATCAGCTACCTCCCTCACAGTTGGAGGGCAGGGAGGGGAGTGGCAGTGGGGCAGGGAGGGGTGTGGCAGGGAGGCAGGGAGGTGGCAGGGAACCAGAGAGCTTTTGAAATAACTGGGCACCTTCTGGTGTGAGGAGGCCTTTGCTCCTGCAGGAGGTGATGGGCAGCCTCGCCCAGGCAGCCTTAGCTCTGCCCTCCTCCTCACCCAGGCAACCCTCCCGTGCCTGCCTCCTCCTCCTCACCTCTCGGCTCCTTCACCCGGAGCCACAGGAGTTGCTGGCCTCCCCTAGGTCTTCCGAAAGCTGGAGGGAACCAGTGAAGCCTTCCCATCCTTCTCTTTCCAGGCCCTCCACTCCATGGTCCCTGCTGGCACACGCTGCCCAGCTGGCTGCCAGCCTCCTGAAACCTCCAGGCCAGAAGCAAGGCCAGCCTCTGTGCTCCCAGGGACACAAGTCTGGGTGCTGCAGTGGTGGCATAGGTGACACGGGCCTGCAGATGCTGTGATTTGACAAGTCTTCCAGCTGGAGAGCAAATCCCAGGCTCTCCTCTCAGGCACTTTCCGTCCCTACAAGTGATTCTTTCAGGGCCCCCCGGCTTGCCTTCTGTGGGGGGAGCACCCTCTCCTTCTCAGAGAGGGGAGGAAATCCTCTGTCACCATGAGGGCTGACCACTGTGCTTCCCTCCCAGCCTCCTTTTCTTCTACAGACAGAACGGGGGCTGAAGAGCCAGGGGCTGGGTGGTGGTGGAGGGCTACCCCCTCTGCCTCCTCTCATAAGCCTTGATAAAGGTCTCTCTCTGCCCTTCTGTTGGTGGCTCTATTTAGGATGTGGGGTACTTGGCACCTCTTTGTCCCCAGCTTTGAGTGTGTGGCTATCGGAAATCCCCCTCAACATCCTGCCACATCCTCTTACACTTGGTACCACATTGAGAAGCTAGGCCTTTAAAGGTGGGGGGTCGGAGACGGCTGTGACAGGTTCAAACAGAGGAATGGCCAGATTGGGTTAGAAAGCCCACTTCAGAGGCAATGTGGGGGCCAAGACGAGGAGAAGTGGGACCGTCCTCAGACCGGGTAACTGGCCTCTGCCCTTGGCCCCATGCTTTAGAGGGCCCCACTTTGGGCCTTCTCTGCCCATGTCCCTTCCTATGGGGTGAGGACTTTGCAAGGCCAAGGGATCATGCCCACCAGGAGCCTATGCCCACCTTCTAGGCCACATCCCAGGTGTCCAGGATTCCAGAATTCTCTTCCAAATGGGCTCAGGCCATTTGGTAGAGAGGTACAGAGGCCCAGCACCTGCCTGGCCTCTCCCCGAGTCAGTCCTCCCAAGGGCAGACTAGGCAACTATTATTCAGAACCCTAGGCCCAGGAAGCAGCCATCAGGGGCTGTTTGCAGAGTGTAAACAGGCTGGGGTTCCCACACACATGCAGGTCAGAGTCAGGTGGGCCATAAGCCAGGCTTCCAGTTTTCCTCCTGCCCCCAGCCCTGCAAATGGTAAGGGTTGGATAGGAGGCACAGAGCCCCTTAAAGCAGTGGTCCTCTCACCTTGGAATCACCCGGTGAGCTTCAAAAACTCCTAGTGTCAGGGCCCCAGCCCCCTCATGCTGAGTCGATTGGACCCAAGTTAGGAGTGAGTTAGGCTCCCCAGGTGGCTCTCATGGGCGGTCAGAGTTGAGGGACCCTTGCTGGGGAGACTGCGGCCACAGTCCAGGCCAGAGGGGGCAAAGGAAGAGCTTTGCCGCACTGGGGAATGCGGGGGGCTTCGGGAGCTCGTCCAGGTTTCTGCTTGGGTGGATGGAGATGCCCCTCACGGAAGAGGGAAGGTGGGGAGAGGCCCCTGTGTGGGGGAGTGGATCTGAGCTGGACCTGAACCTGTGGAGTTTGGGGTATTTTGTGACATCCATGGAGGAAGGTCTAACAGGAAGTTGGACACCTGGACTGGATCTCAGTTTTGAGGCCTGGGCCCGAGGCAGAGTTGGGATTTAGCAGCTCATAAATGGTAGCTGAAGCCTTGAACCCGGCCAAGAGTGGAAGGTGTGTGGGCCAAGAGGGGAACTGCATTTGTCCCCTCCAAACTCCACCCTCCATCTGCCAACCCATTCCTCCATCCTAGGCCACAGACAGCTTAGCAATGGAGGGGTGTCCATGATTTGGGGAGCTGGGCTTCCTTATCATCAGTTCACCAGAGCAGGCTGCTTGTGGGAAGACCTTAAAGACAATCAGATTGCCCTTCTTTCCCCTGTCATTCCACCCTTGCTCCCAATTTCCCTGCGTCCCCATGCCCTTCCTCTGCTTTTCTCCTCCCGCCTGAACCCACTTGGCTTTGCCTCTCCCCTCTCCCTTCCTGACAACCCTCCCCACCCACTGCCCCAAGGTCAAGGTCTGGTTCCAGAACCGCCGTACCAAGCAGAAGAAAGACCAGAGCAGAGACCTGGAGAAGCGAGCATCCTCCTCAGCCTCCGAGGCCTTCGCCACCTCCAACATCTTGCGGCTGCTGGAACAGGGCCGGCTGCTGTCCGTGCCCAGGGCCCCCAGCCTCCTGGCGCTGACCCCCGGCCCGCCTGGCCTGCCTGCCGGCCACAGGGGCACCTCCTTGGGCGGCCCCAGGAACTCCTCCCAGCGCCTCAACCCGCTGATCTCGGCCCCGGTGTCCCCACCACTGCCGCCCCCTCCGCCAGCCCTCTGCTTTTCCACTGCCCCGCTCCTGGACCTGCCTGCTAGCTACGAACTGGGCTCCTCGGCCTTCGAGCCCTACAGCCGGCTAGAACGAGGAGTAGGCAGCCCCGGCGGCGGCAAGAAAGCTAACACTTAAACCTCCACCCCCGTGTGACACCGAGTCCCCAAGCACAGCACCGCCCCTACCTCCTGTGCCCCAGCGGACTGCCCTGAGCAGGCACCCAGAGGAGGGGTGGCAGCCACACACCCTGCCCCACTCGTCCCCCAGCTCAGAGACTCTCGACCAGACATCCTTGGTCGCGCAACGTGTGTGTGCGTGCAGTGTGCGTGTGCCTCTCACTGAAATAAAAGGAAAACAATGACAAGGGAAACAGAGTCCCCACAGCACCACCACTGCCCTCAGTCCCCTCTCCCTCTCCCTCTCCCCACTGGGAAGGAACATAGGCACAGGTCAGGGGCACCTCTAATGGGAGGGGGCAAAAACTGGGGCCATGTTCACAGTTGGGGGGTCGGGGTACCCATGCATGTGTGTGACAAGCACCTGACTCTGGCGCCCAATTAAAGCCCCCCACCCCGGGCATCTCATGGCCCATGGTAGCAACGCTGATGCTTTTGTTGGTTAAGCTTTGCCCTTTGCAAGCTCCTCTCTCGAACATAACAGTTGAGCAAGGGAGACGTTAGGTCCTTCGAGGGTGGACAATGAAAGGGGAGACCGGGATCTAGAGAGCCTAAGAGAGGGCATCAAGGTAAACCCAGGCAAGACCTGCATGCTTTGGAGGGCAAGCCCATTGCAAACACTACAACATGAAGCACTTAAAACATTTTTTGCTCAAGTAAGACACTTTTTTTTGGCTTGAGGAAGATTAGTCCTGAGCTAACATCCGTGCCAGTCTTCCTCTATTTTGTATGTGGGTTGCCACCACAGCATGGCTGCGAAGTGATGTAGATCCGTGCCCAGGATCCAAACCCACAAACGCAGACCGCTGAAGTGGAGCGCACCGAACTTTAACCGCTAAGCCATGGGGCTGGCCCCAAGACACTTTCATTTAACTTTCTATTTTGCAATAACTGTAGATTTATAGGAAGTTGCAAAGACAGTCCAGAGAAATCCTGTGTACCCTTCACTCAGTTTCCCCCAGTCGTTACACCTTCTGCCACTACTATAGTATAATATCAAAACCAGGAAATTGACGTTGGTATAATGTGTGTATGATGTTCCACGTCATTTTATCACCCACGTAAGATTTGTGGAACCAATACCACAGTCAAGATACAGAACTGATCACCACAGAGATCTGCTCCCCTTCATAGTCACACCCCCCCCGCCTCCTTCTCCCCGAGAGAATTCTTTGAAAAAAATAGGACTTGTGAGAGCGGAGACCAGATACCTGATGTGGGTCCTGAGACCGGAGGATGCAGGGTGAGATTTTAACTCTGTGGGGAGAAAAGACAAGCACAGTCTGCCCCAGGCTGCGCTGGGAAACACGTTTGGTTTCAAACTGGCTGTCCTGAGTCACTCAGAGTGGGGTGCTGGCAGGGAAATCCTGAGGCTGGAATGAGACATGGCAGGACTGGAGCAGACCTTGGGTTGGGTGGGTCCACCCCGCCTTGCCCGGCAGACCTGGGCCACACTCCGGCTGGCCCAGGGGACAGGACAACGCCTTTAGCCTCGGGTTCCTCCATTTGTATTTTCTGCCCTGGGCTGAAAATGTCAGGGCAGGCCTGCTGCATGGGCTCTTGAGGTGAAATACAAGTAGGTGAGACAGGGTTGTAAGATCAGATGGAGAGAGACCTGCCCTGGTACTTAGGGAGCTCTCCATATTATGAGACAGAAAGTCTGATGGAGGAGACACAGGCTCAGCTTGTGGGGGCTCACAGCCGAGTGGCAGCAACAAAAGAGAACTCTCCAGAAGGAGACCAGACATAGGAAAGAGACCAGATGTGGTGAATCCAGGGTGCTGGAGGATTCAGGGAAAGCTTCCTGTAGGTGGCACTGAAGCTGGCCCAAGATAACCCTCTACAGATGTTCAAAAAAAGATGATGATGGAATTGTGCAGGGAAAGAAGTACCCAGGTATGGCCAGGGTAAGGGGTGCAGGTTGAGGGCAGGTTGGGGGACAGTGAGGAGAAGACCTGAGGGGAGGGCAGCCTGCCAGAAACTGGGTGTGCGGGGGAGACCAGAACGAGGGCTGAGGGGCATGGGGCTGGGAGAGCACCTGAGGTTCCAAGAGGAAGAACGGAGTTCACATTGGCTGCAGGTTGGGGACAGAGGAAGAGCCAAGAACAGAGGTCAGAGAAGCCAGCCTCGCCCCTCCCTCCCCCATCCCCCTGCTCCCAGGTGGCCTAGGGCACCTCCCAGATCTGGAAGAGCTCCAGAGCCACAGCACTGGTTTCTCTGTTTACAGTCAGCTCAGAAGGAGAGGAGGGTGGAGGGGAGGGGAGGGGTGACCGCAGGGGCTGGCTAGTCAGCTCTTTCTAGTTCCAGCTGAGCCTGAAGTGTTGGACCTGCCGTCAGCAGGCTCAGGCGCTCAGCTCCCAGCCGGACACCTCACCATGGCCACGAAGGTAGACAGTAGGCCCGAGGGGCTCCCCAGCAGTAGCTGTGACCTGGGCGCAGCCCGCGAGCACATGCAGGCGGTCACCCGAAACTACATCACCCGCCCCCGTGTCAGTGAGTACGACCCCCCAGCGAGTGAGGTTGGGGTGGGCTGCTTGGGTCCCCAGGTCCTGCTCGTTAGGCTCAGGGAAGAGGAAGACCCAAGACTTGGGGAGACCCAGGGGGCTCTCAGTCCAGTGGAGTGATGCAATGGGCTACCTGGACAAGGGGCTACCTGGATAAGGGGCCACCTCTAGGTGGAGAGATGGGGGTCCCCAGCCCAGGCTACCCAAGAGGAGAGGGCAGGCGAGTCACTGCAGGAACCTCCCAGTCATCACCCTGACCCTGCACTAAGACCCCAAGTCCAGAGAGAGCTCCCAACTGCCCCCTGAGAGAGTGCGTGTGTGTGTGTGTGTGTGTGTGTGCACACACTCCCTTGTGAATGTGTGTGTTTAGGGTATGTGCATGTGCACCAGAACACTCAGCACCAGGAAATGCATAACCAGTGTTGTTGGAGAACGTGTGTGGCAATGCAGAGTACGTGTGCGTTCTCAGGATGTGTGTCATGTCAATGTGTGTGTGTCCTGTGTGTATAACCAGGGGAAGGCAGGTGCCTCGGTGTGTCTGGGCTCCACCTTCACTTGGGTGAGGATATGTGCGAATACGTATGTGACAGCGCGAGTATGTGTGATCAGAGTGAGGAAATGTGTGACAGTGTGTGTGCAAGCTTGTGCACGCAGGATGAGGGTAAGCATATGTGTGTATGTGCTTAAGCATGCAGGCTCCCGAGGAGAACATGGGTGAGTGTGTGGTTGGGTGATGTCACATGTCTGTGTGGAGGCAGAGCCAGAGCCTGGCACCCAGGTGTAGGAGTGTGTGTGCCCACAGGGGCTGCAGGGTGCCCTTGCAGGCTTCAGAGGGGCCATCCCCGGGTGTGGCTCAAGTGCCGGTCCGGCAGGGGTGGGCCAAGTCCAGATGTCTGAGACAGAGAACCCAGTAAGTCCCCAGGACCAAAGGGAGCCCCCCCTCCCCCATCTCTCCTTGTCCAAGGTCACCCTCCCTGGCCTGGTGACTTCTCGAATTCTCAGACAGCCCAACTCACTGGAGTAAACCGGCCTGGCCGGCACCGCTAAGCAGAAACAGAGGCTCGGAACAGGGTGTGTGTGGGGAAAAGCTGGCCTAGCCCAGCTAGCCCCGCTCCCTCTGTAGCTCCTTGCAGTCCAGTGGGGGAGGGGAGTGACCTGAGAGGGCAGCTGAGAGCTGGGTCTGCTCTGGGGGCAGACAATTCCCTCCCTCCCGTTCCCTCCCAGCCAGCCCTGTACTTACAGTCAACAAGCCCTGGCACAAAGGACACCCTGGAGGTTTAACCCAGGCTGCAACCCAGGGGTGGCAGTGCCCCGTGTTTGCACGTGTGTTGCTCCATGTGGCCCCCCACCCAGGCAAGTGTGTTCACACCAAGAGCTGACCCAGAGACAAGGGTCAGTGCAGGGGGAGCCCCTCCGGGCTTTGCTCAATGCCTGGGTTAAAGATGTTATTGCAATGATACAGACAGCTGCCTTCGATTTGCTGCCGACCAGCGTCCTCTTAGGGTACACCCAGGGGCCAGTCCCAGCCCAGCCCGGACACTCTCCCAGCCCAGGGGCAGGCTGAGTCCTCGGTGTGCTTCTGCGCCTGCAGCTTTCTCCACTTTCCCGCCTCTCTGCTCAGGGGCCTGAGCCGTCTTCTCCTTGTGGGGCACAGGCAGGTGTGGACCAAGGAGGGCTTGGAGACTCCCAGAGCTACTGCCCTCTGGGGGAGCTACTGCTGAGGCAGGACTCCTGGGTCCCTCTCTGCCCTCCCCCCACCCCCAGCCTGGCCTCCTACCTGGGGACTCCAGGCACTTCTGGCAGGAGAACTTCATAAAGAGACAGAAAGAGCCTGGGGGAGAGTTGGGGGGACCAGAGAGCCAGGGGGCTCGCTCAGCCATGGATGGGTGTGAGTCCAGAAGAAGGCTTCCTGGAGAAGGAGGTGAACTAAACAGGCCTGAGGCAATAAAAATGATTTCACTGCAGTGGCTGAGGGAAGGAATGGGCCAGAAAGGAGGGGGTGGGGTGGAATCAGGATGGGGAGTGAACCCCCGCAATATCCACCCTGGGAAAGAAGGGACCCCTGTGCCTCCCTCCGAGCTAGAGTTGTTCCCCAGGGAGAGGAGGTGGCTGGAGATTTATCTGGTCATGTGGGGCAGAAGATGCCAGGGTCAGGGGTGGGGGGTGCCAAGCATGAGCCAAGGTTAGGACGGACAGGCTGGTAGCCTGGCTCGAGGGTTGGAGAGCAGTTAGCTAGCCCAGGGGCTTGAGTGCCTCGGTTTCCTCAACCAAAAAACAAGGAAGGTTACACTGCGGGAGTTCCACCCAGCAGGGTCTTGGGCTGATTCTAAGATTCCAGCCCCGCCCTCCCTCCCTAATCCCTCCAGCGGGACTGGGGAGGAGGTGTGGGACCTGCTGCCCTGGGCTTGCCCCCACCCTGGCCTCAGGCACGCATGGGCGCGCCTGGCTCAGCCCTCTCCCAGGACGCTGCAGGTGTGGCTGGGCTGGCCCTAATTAGTGGGCTGCTCGGAGCCCCGCTGAGCCTTTGACAGGGAAGGCGGTGGGGAGATGGGGGCAGGGAGGGGCTCCACCCGCCTGCTGCCCAAAGTGCAGCCCAAAGTGTCAGCAAGGACAATGGGGGGCAGGGAGCAGAGCAGCTGGAGGGAGTGTCTGCAAAGTCTCAGGAAGTCCTACTGAGGGAGCGCCCCTCAGAGGTCTTCCGGTCCAGTCCCCTGCCTCCAGCACCACCCCCCACCCTCTACCTCTCCAGGGTCGAGGTGTGTGTCCTAGGGCTGGGGTAGTGGCCATCAACCTTGAGTGCCCCAGGATACTGTCCTGATTTGTGGATACCCTAGGAGAAACCAGCCGACTTTCTGGGCCTCAGTTTGCCATTCCATGCAATGGGCACAATCAGAGTTGGGAGTGGGCACAGAAGGCCTGGCTTCCAGGCAACGACACCTTTCTTGCTCAGCCACCACCTTGGCTGTGTCCAAACCAGAGAGCGTCTAGGAAAAGATAAGCTCTAGTCTGACAGGAGAGACACAGAGCCCTAGTCTGAGGGGAGAGACACCATCTGCCTCGTTAAGGCAGAGAGAAGCTGGAGGGCAGGATGCCCTCTCGGGTGGCAGCCGGTAGCGCTGTGGGACTTCAGAAGGGAGAGGACCCTGTGGGCTGCAGGAGTCAGTCGGGGGCAAGTCCTTGAAGGTGTGAATAGCCCGATGCGGAACCTAAATGGCCACATACACGGATTATCCGCAGTGAAGTGTCCAGACCATGGAGCGGTGTATTCATCCAGCATCTATTTTTGAAGCCCCCCTAGAGCCAGGCACCCTGCTTGCTGGAAGCCTGGGAAGGTGGCTTACAGACAAGCCTGGTGCGATGAGGTGGGGGACTTGGAGACCACATGCTGGTCCCCAGTGTGGCCTGGGCTCGGGCCAGGCATCGAATTGAGAAGCTGGTAGCCCGGAAGACCTGGCTCTGCTGCAGGCAAGCACTTTGCCCCCGGCCCCTCAGCTCCCCCAAGACCAGCCCCTCCTCCTTGGGGACTGGGGATGGGCAGCAGATCTGCTCCCCTCTTTGTGCCTGCCACCACCATCACTCCCCGAGTCTTCAGGCGCCCCACCCCCCACGGTAGAGTTGTTGGCTGCCAGGGTTAATGGGGCTTTCACGTGGCAGAAGCTGTGAAATGGGGGGAGCCGGCTGTGACCGAAGGGAGGAAGTTGAAAGACTTGTCTCCAGAGGCAGAATTGGAAACCATTCCCTGGGGCTTTCTGGACCTCGGGGCCCCCTCCCCTCTCACACCCACCGCCCTATGAGGCCCACCCACCCTGCGTCTTTCTTCCGCCATCTCAGCCCTTTTGGCTGGTCTGGTATTTTCTCTCCAGGTCCAGCAAGATACCAGCTCTTCTCGGGGCTTTCTAAAATGTGGCGCCCTCCGCCCCGTACTCATTCCTGTGTTCTCAGGATCCATCTCCTCCTACCCACTTCCCCACCCTCCCTCTGCCGGGCTCACATGCTCTGCTCCGCTCCACATGGTTCTAGCAATCCAGAGAATTTGACCAAAATGCCACGTCTGCAGGAGGGGAAGTGTGTGGCTGCTTGGCGATTTTTCTTCTTGGTGGGGAGGGTGATGCCCAGCCTCTGCCCTACCTTCCCTCCTTGGGGTCTTCTTATGCCCACCACCCCCCTTAGCCCTGAGCATCCTCTCTCTCATCCTTGCGCCCTCTGTCTTCAGAGGAGTGGCAGGAGCCAGGGGAGCAAGCCCTGAGGCTGGGAGAAAGGAAACTCACTTGGTTTGGGGCTGGGAAAGTGCCAGGGGCACCATCGGTCCTGATGTAGGACAGAGGGGAACGAGCTGGTGGGACCAGGTGACGCCTTCCATAATTCATCCAACAAATATTTCCTGAGTGTTGACCAAGGAAAAGTCACTACAATTTAAACAGCAAATATTTATTTGGGCAATTAGAATTGCAATTCGGGAGGCACAGATTCAAGTAGAAACCCAAAACGTGTCCCAATTACAGGAGAGGGGCTCAGCGTTTTTATGGGAAAAGGGGAGGAAGAGGCGAGTTGTATTAAAGAAGAGTCCATTGGTGCTAGATGAGGTGAGGCTAGGTTTGTACTTCATAGACTGGCTTGAGATTCCATCATTAGGCAAGCCTTGTCCTTCCTTGATTGGTTAGTGATCCGGTCATCAGCAAAGTCCAGTTTCATCAGTCCATACAAACAGGATATGTTTGTCTTTACTGACTTCTTGGAATGTCGGCGGTTTGGTCCAGTTTGGAAGATAAAGAAAACAAGTTGTGCGAGAAAATTCCTCTGGAATGGCTGCTCTGGCTCTATTTTAACATGACTCCACTCATGTCATCTTTCACACTACCATGTGCCCGGCACCATTCTAAGAGGTGGGATTCAGCAACGAACACCACAGACACCCCTGCCCTCATGTCTCTTGGAGCTGTTATGTCCTCCTGCGCCCCGGAAGCGAGCCTGTGCACACCAGCTGCCCTGCCCTTCTTTCTGTTCCCCGAAGGCACCAAGTTCTTTCTGACCTTTGGGCTTCCTCACCTCTGCCAGATATGCCCTTTGCCCAGCTCTCTGGGGGCTGGCTGGATGACCCACTTGATCTCCAAGAGGCAGCTCAAATGGCCCTTCCTGCAAGTTGCTTCCTTCCACTGCACCCAGTCTGGTCCTCCAGCCCATTCTCTCTCACCCACCCCGTTCTTTCCCTTCATTGCACCTACTGCAGTTTGTAATTAAATTATTTTCTCTTTATCCTCTTTTGAACTGTAGGCTCCATGTTTTATTTGCCACCTTTACTTGCCTAGCCCAGTACCTAGAAGCCATCTGATAGATATGCTTAAAGAAAGGAAGGGGTGGGAGGGAAGGGAAGCAGATCATCCAGGGGAAGGAGAGTGAGATGTCAAGAGCCAGGTCCCAGCGCTGAGGCCCTCCAACATCCAAGGGGCCTCAAAATAGGCTGAGGAGCAGCCAGAGAGGTGGGGGGCACCAAGGGGCAGGGCCTCCCAGGGGCTGAGGGAGAGAGTGTGTCCGCTCTGGTCCCTTTGGATCTAGCAATCTGTAGGCCAGAGGTGACCTAGAGAGAAGTCAGATTGGACAGGGTGAGGAAGGGGTGGAAGGTGGGGAAGGGAAGACAGCAATGGAGCCGTGCTTTCGAGAAGCTAGGTTGTGAAGGGGAGGAGAGAAATTGGCCTTGGACGGGGGCTGAGGGAGTAGTTTTAAAGAATGGGGATACTAGACCTTCTTTGAGAGGCAGGCCACAGAGAAGGGAAGGCACCAGCCCTTCACCCCAGGGAGCAGTCATCTCCAGGGCTGGAAGGTGGGACACCTCCTCCATGGGAACCCATGAGGAAGGAGAAAGAAGAGGAGGGCGGCTCAGGTGCACGGGGGTCTGTAGTTTGAAGGCAGGAAGGTGAGGGAGTTCCCCTGCTCTGGCCCAAGAAGAAGCTATCTTCTCACGCCCTCCTCCTGTGCCTGAGTTTTCCTACAGGACTTAAGCTTGGAAGAACCTTGCAAATATCCACTCAGGGATTACCTTACCCAGTAGGTCTTCCTACTTCCCACAAAAATAAGGAGTATTCCCCCTCGACTGGGGAGGGTGCGAGCTTGGGGCATTTGGTTTCCCTCCGTGTGGAGTGGCTTGGGGCCAGGCTTGCCTAGAAGCAGGAGCGTAAGTGCCTGGAAGCCCATGTGGTCTGAAGGGAAGCACAAGGTAGGGTCCCAGCCCCTGCCCTGCCCAGGTGTGCAGTGTGACCCTCAGCCAGGCTTTTCACCCTTCTGGGCCCTGTTCTCCTCGCCTGTTGAAGGAAGGTTGGACCACTCTCCCCTCTGAGGTCTTTCTAGCCTGTGATGACCCAGCAACTTTACAGACACCCCTGCCCACCTTGCCTTGCCAAGTTCCTTCATCTCAGTTGTCACATTAGCAGTTCACCAGGACCCAGGGCTGTGGGCGAGGGACAGTCCCTCGGTCCCTCAACTAGCCCCTAGTGGAACCAAAATAGGCTTCCTGTCTGCCAGTCCATGGCGTCTTCTACTGGGGTCCCCAACACTGGAGTTAGGAAGTATTTCTTGATGTCTAACTCAATCACTTCCTGTAAGTGGAGCTCATTTCCCCATGTGCGGGTCTTTCCAGCCACTAGGACTGTGGGACATTCTGCTTCTTCCTCCTTCCTTGTTGATCTCCCCTCCCCCACGGGTACCCAGTGAACCCAGGGAGTGCGGGAGTCTCCCCAGCAGGGCCTGCAGAGCCAAGCGCAGTGGGAGCAGGCACCAAGGCTGGTTTTCCTCACCAATGCCTGCACCCCTCATACACACACACAGCCCCTCCGCACACACAGTGCTCAATCAGTGTGGCGTGAGAGAAGCGTGGTCCTGGGGAGGAGCAGGGGAGGGCAGTTCTCAGCCATGGCCGGGGGCCAGAAACTTTTGGAAAACGTTGTGGGTCAGAGAGGAAGGAGTGGGTAAGGTGGGGCTGAGGCAGGAGGGGAAGCTGCCTCAGGGATGAGACAGGCCTCTGCGTGGCTGGGGGAGGGGAGGACTCTCAGGGGCCTCTGCCCTTGCCCTGGCCCTCCCCCAGCCTCCTGCAGGTGTCCGAGGCAGCGGGGGCCCTGCGGGCAGGGGCATGACCCTTACAGCAATGGTGGCTGGCCCTGTCACAGCTAATGACCCTGATGGCCTAGGCTGGGAGGAGGTGGGGGTGGTGCATAGAGGGGAAAGGCGGAGGATGCCTCTGTGTGTGTGTGTTTGTGTGTGTGTGTGTGTGTCTGGGTGTCTGGGTGTGAGACCCTCACCCACCCCTGCCCCTCCCCCAGCCTACAGGACTGTGTGCAGCGTCAACGGGCCCCTGGTGGTGCTAGACCAAGTCAAGGTAAGACTTCCGCCTCTTTCCGGCACTAAGGCCAAATCCCAGGGCTCCCCAACCCCTGTGTAGAATTTCTTCTAAATTGTACTGCTCCTGGATGGCCCCCGGGCCTGCCCTGTTCTTTCTGATCCCCTGTCACCCACCCCTACATTCTCCCCTGCAAGCTATCTCCCCAGCCCCCTGAGGTTTCCCCTTCCTGCCTTTTCAGTGGGAGCCCCACTCTGGGCTTTGGGAAACCTGCTTCTACCACCCGTGTACTGGGGGACTTGGGCTATTGTGTCTCTTCTTCAGCAGTAGGACGCCCGCGTCTGATTCCTCACGGGCGAGACTCTCCCACCTGCCACTCTCGTGGCTCCTCTTTCAAAATGAAGCAGAGGAGGCGGCACATCACTGCCAGCCACCTTTCTCCAGAGCTCGATGGTTTTCAAAGGCCTTTGGACTATCTCGGCCTGGGAGCCAGCATGGGTGGGCAGTGCAGGGGCCCTCACAGATAGAAATGGTGTGAGGGCGACTTCATGCCCCCAGGGAACTGGGGGAACATGGCAGACACTGGCAGTATTTTGAGTCCTGGGGTTCAGGATTCTCGAGGCACAAAGAGCCCTGCAAAGGTACGAGATCACCCTGCGGTCCCCCCCTCCCAGTTCCACCCCTCAGGCTCCCACTCCACCCCACCCTGGGGGGTATACACCCCCAAACTTGAAATCTGGGTGCCACCCTTGACTTCTCCCTTCTGGACCCCAGTCTGCCAGTGCCATGCGCTGTCAGCAATCTCCCACCCCACCACTTCTTTATTATGGCCATGGCCTCTGGCCACCAGCCCGGTGCCTCCCATCCTCCACTCTGCAGCCAGGCAGCCCTGACCCCTTCACTCCCCTGCTTCAAAGTCACTTCAGTGCCTCCCCAGTGCCTTCACCTTACAGGGCTTACGTTCCATCAGGGTTCCTGTGCGCCTTTTCACTCTAGTCTCTCATCACGCTTCCTTCCCCACCTAGAAACCCACACTGTCTCTGTGTGGAGCTGCCATTTGACGTCTCCTGGCCTCTGCACATACTTGACCCTCTGCCTCCTCAACCAGTTTCGCCATCCCCTCCCTGTGACTCATCCCCAGGGCTAGCTGAGAGGTCACCTTCTCCTGGAAGCCTCTCCCAGCCCCCTGGGCAGTCAGCCTGTCCCTACTTTTGGCTTTGTGTACCGTTTATTGGCAGTATCTGAGGCCTCTGGCTACTCCCTGGCCACATGTCTCCTCCCTGTCTCCTTCTCCCTACACCCTGGGCCCTCCTATTGGTTCATGGATGGTGTTTTATTAATCCTGAGCTCCCAGAGCCCCACACTGCACTTTTACTGAACCCAGACCATTGTAGGTGCTCAGTTTGTTTAAAGGAAGGTTGAATAAATGAATGAGACAAATGAAGGAACGTGTTAGCTTGACTAAATATGGACCTGTCAAAACTTGAGCCAACTATAGTAAAGAAATCAAACTCACTCGTTTCTGGAAAACAAATTCCATGTTCATCTGGACATTACTATTTGGTCCACTAGTGTCAGGGATGCCCTGGAAGGAAGTGTGATGGAGCGGTTATGCGTGTGTGCACTGGGTCCAGACAGTCTTGTCTTGTCTAAACTCTTCTTGAGTTTTAATCCCAGCTTATCCCACCCCTTCCACTAGCTACCTGTCAATTCTAGATCAGCAGACCAGCACCACCTCGGAGCTTGTTAGAAATACAGATTCTTGGGCTCTACCCCAGACTGACAGAATCAGAATCTCCTGGGGTGGGGCCCAGAAATCTGTTTTTACGAGCCCTCCGGTGATCTGATGCTCCCTGAAGTTTGAGAGCCATCTATCTAGGACTGTAAATCCCAGTCTCCATCTATTAAATGATAATAGGGTTGTTATGAGAATCAAATCAGATAAATGTATTATTACTATTTCCCCTTGAGAACAGCTAGCAATAGCTCTGCCTGGAATGTAGAAATGCTAATATGCCTGATGCAACAGTTGGTGTCATCTCCTGCCCCCTCGCCCATCTTCACCACGCTCCCTACCATGCCTGTCAGTCTATGGAGGACCCAGTGCAGTGTGGAGAGTCAGTACCTATGTTGACATCCATTTTCTCAACTGTAAAGTGGGGTGGACTTAGGGAACTGGAGATAGATCCCCAGCCCTAAGTTCTGTGAATGTTGGGCACATCTGTGACCTTGCAGAACAGAATAACTGGGTGATGGAGACACCCAGAGACCCTTGCAGAAGGAAGGAGAGGAATCAGTAGTTTATAGTCTCATAAGTTCAGGAGACAGAGAAGGCACCTCTGTGAACTCCCTTCCACTGTCCCATACCCCTTTCCTTGTTCTAGAGTTGCTCTGGCAAAACGCCACAATTTTGTCTCCACAGCGCCACCTTCTGCCCCCAATGAATTACACAGGCAATTAGGCTTCCCGCTTCCGTCCTTCTCAAGTGGAAAAGTATCTGGGGAAAGAATTTTGTGTAGATCAGAGGTTCTTAGCTGAGGGAATAAGGCCCTTGAAATTGTATGCAAACCTTTGAAGGTATGTATTCCTGTGTCTGTGCATTTTTCTGGGGGTAGATTCCACAGTTTTATCTGATTTTCTATGGTCTGTGACCCAGAAAAGGCTACCATCCTAATTTGTAGAGTATAAAACTGACTCCTCTGGATTGTTAAACATCCATACCACCAGCCCTGATCTCACAAATCACACTCACACACAATCACACACACACCCACACACTCACATACAGTCACACAAGGTTGTACAAGCATTAAAGAAGAGTCTGGATATCTGACATCCACCTGCCTGGAATATTCTAGAGAGATTTCACCAGAGCAGTGGTTCTCAAACTTGAGCATGTATCAGAATCCCCTGGAGGGATCCTTCGGGCCCCCACTCAAAGTTCTGATTCAACAGATCAGATGCCCAAGAATTTGCATTTCTAACAAGTTTCTGGGTGACGCTGCTGCTGCTGGGCTGGGCACCACACCTTGAAAACTGCTGCTCTAGAGGATCTTCCAACTCCTATATTCTGTGATTCAGATCAGTCCTTATTTGAGCCTTGGAGTAAGCACTTACCCAGTCCACCAGACTTAGTTCCAAATGTCTGTGGCTGCTCCCAAACTCTCAGAGGAAAAAGTTTTCTAAAGAGTGTACATCAGGGGGCCGGCCTGGTGGCGTAGTGGTTAAGTCCATGTGCTCCACTTTGGCGGACCGGGGTTTGGATCCCTGGCAGGGACCTACACACTGCTCATCAAGCCATTCTGTGGCAGCATCCCACATACAAACTAGAGGAAGACGGGTACAGATGTTAGCTCAGAGACAATCTTTCTCACCAAAAAAAAAGAGTGTACATCAGGTCTGAAGACAGTTTCCAAAGAGGAGTTCCCAGACTGCCCTGGGCATTGTGGGAAGGAGAGGCCTTGGGGGCCAGCACGCCCTGGGACAAGTCCCGCCAGGCTTGCTAAGAACTCCCCAGGCCTCCGAGTGTGTGCAGCAGCTCCCCTGGGCCTGACCCCTTACTGGACTCAGCTGAATCTGCAGCAGAGGAGACAGGTTGCACAGAGCCATTCCCACTCCCTGCAGTCCTCTTAGTAACCAACAGTGAGAGTGGGTAGAATCAGGCTTGCTCAGTATGTGACTGGGAAACAGGGCTCCTTTGGACCAAAGCTCCTTGTTGCACACGGGCATTCTCCTCCGCATGCATTGCTCTAGCTGGCTATGACCACCCCTCGCCACAAACAAATACCCAACGCGCGCACACATACAGCCCGGTGTTCTCTTCCTAAAGGATTCCAGACTACACTCTCCAGGCCTGGGAGTGATGGTTCTGACAGTTCTTCCTTGTGTCTGACTGTAATCTCTCTGCTATTTAAAGTTCATTTTCTCTGATTTCATCTTTCAGGGACACACACCTCTCCACTCTCCTTTCCTCCTACCCTCCCTCACCCACATAAAATGATTACTTTTTATCCCCCTGCTGCCTGGTTTTTATTGGGCCCATTGCCTGAGTTCTTTTAGGCCCACACTGGCCTATGCTCTGTCCAGAAATTTTCCTCCTGAGGTTAGCAACCCACCATCACCTCCACAGACAATGAGGCCAGTGGCCATTTCAGACAGAGACACAGGCCCACAAAGAGCAGAAAAGGGAAAGAAGCCAGGACTTGTATTTAACTTGTTTCTCAGGACCTCGCAGTCCTTGCTCTTGGGCTCCCTCTTGTGGTTGAGAAGCCAAAGACAGCTGGGCATTAGCGCTGCAACAACCTCAGAGCGTTCCTCTTGGGGAGAGCCTCTCATCCCCAGGGCCCTCACTCCACAGGGCCAAAGAGGTAGTCTGGGGGGGAACTAGGTCGCCTTCCTGGCATGCTCTTCACAGGACGAGGAGGGGCCCAAGCCAGAGCTTCCCTCAGTGACTGTCAGAGCTGCAAACCCTCCTGTCTCAGGTTCAACCCCAGAAGGGGTGCCCCCAGGGGAGTGGCCCCCACACTGGTCACACCCCGTTGGGAAATTGAGCCATCCATCCCTCCTCCCTGGCCATTAAGGCCACTAGTTTGTGGGGAGCAGGGGATGTAATAATAGTAATGATGGTGATAACCACTTGCACTGTACTTGAACATGTCCCAAATTTCTAAAAAAAAACCACCCCACAAAACATGCTCCTCATAACTAGTGAACCAAAGAAAAGACACATCATGGGGGCCAGCCTGGTGGCCTAGTGCTTAAGGTTGCGCCTTCCGCCTCAGCAGTCCCGGGCGGGAACCTACACTGCTCATCAAGCCATGCTGAAGCCGCGTCCCACATAGAGCAACTAGAAGGATGTACAACTATGACATACAACTATCTACTGGGGCTTTGGGGACATAAAAGGAAGATTGGCAACAGATGTTAGCTCAGGGCCAATCTTCCTTAAAAAAAAAAAAAAGATAGTGAATGCCTGAAAGGCAGATTTCATATACTAAAAAAAGAAAAGACACATAAAGTTAACTATCTGCCTCTAACCT